ATAGGTATAAGGAATGAAAAAGACGAAGAAAATGTGACACCGAAAAAACGAACTGCAATAATTAAAAGAGAGAAAGAAAAAAAAAAGCTATAGATGAACTTGTTGATATTGATGATTTACCAGATACTGTTCTTGATCCAGCTTTTTAAAGTCGATTATTAATTATCTACTTGAACAAACAGACATTTTTTCACATTTTCTTCAAGATGATCAACTTAATAAACATACTAAAAGTAGAGATCTGATATCACCATTTCGAATGAGCATACTAATACTTGACTTGTCCACATAACGCGCCACTTCAAACATTAAATCTTTATTTCAAAATTGGAAACGAACGTTTTTGCCATGCTGTAAAACGAACATGAAAGTGTAAGAAAATGTATACACTAAGCACTAATGCCCATTCAGAAAAAAAAGACGGGTGGGTATTTTTACAATAACTTTGCTCCAGAATTACCTGTAGAGTTCAGGTTGGTGTCGTTTGAAAGAGGCTTATCCAGTGCATCGATCCATATAAAATTGTTGAGGTTCATTTCATGAGCACATAGTGATCCATGATCACGTAGGAAGAGTAGACTGTTGTGCTATGTATGAAAATAAAATGAGTTTTAAATTTTGAGTAGTGAATTCAAGGGGGAAACGGCAAATTCCAACAGTTTGGAATCCCTCGGAATCCTTAGTAATTCCTTTTAGTCCGTAGAAACTTTTAGTTTCTCTGCAAAAAATTCCTTTCTCAAGTCAATATTAGTTGCATCTTTATGTTTTTCCTTAATCATAATATCTGACAGGATAGAGATAATTATGAAGCAAGACTATAGCTATCTATATTGCTTTTCTTCGACAAATGTATTATTTGCTTCTAATTCATATGCAAAAAAAAACAGTTTTTACATCTTTTTATTTAACAAAATATAATTCGTTCAGAAAGAAAAAAAATATCATGCAACAAAAAAAAACCTTCATTCTTCTCTTCTATTCTGCATTACTCCGAGAAGTCTATCGTTTGAAAGTTTATTTGTTTCATCTGTTAATAACCAACAAGCAGACCGTTTATGTAAATACTTTGTTTGATTGTTAATTAAAACTTTAAAATAAGTGTTTTGTACGCCAGGCTTTATTGTATCATAGACTTTTGTTCCAAAAAAGTCTCTTTTCGTGGTATTAATGAATTTAGTTGTAATTTCTTGCTCTTCATCATCAGTATGATCATTATCCGAAGAAGAATCTTCATAAGTAGAATTGTCACTGTTGATGTCTTCATCATCATCAGCAGCTAATTCAAATTCTTCACTATCGATGATATCTACTTGAGATGAGAAATTGTACATCTGAGAATTCGTATTTAAATGTTCAAATATATATGCACTTAATGAATTTAAACCAAGTACATGCTTTTGTTCTAATATGTCCAATACTTCTAAATCATCATATATTGTAACAGCATCATCATATGCATCAGCAATTAGTTGTTCAATATCTATTTGATCGATTTCATCTTGAATTGATTTAGATCATGGTTGTCGATCATGACGATGTCTATAATGAACTGGAACAATTAATTTGTTAGCTGATTGATCATGGAACTGTTTATACTTAATATCATTAAGCAACGATAATTTCTGCGCTCTTTGTACAAAGTCATGTACAGTAAAGTTAACAACAGTTGAGTAAATTCCACTTAATGCACGGGTATTTCTGAAGATTGACTCACAAGCTTGTGAATTAAAAGTATAAATATTTAATGCTTCTAGTGGCAATTGCTTTTGTTTCACAAGTAAAACTAAGAATAGTAGATTGTGAGCATTGAGTTCTACTGACATATATGCTGACCTTGTGATAAAATATTTGCTTTTATTATTTTGAGTTGTTTGTGTTACGTTGAATGTTTTAAACCTAATCCATGCAAACCACAACCGACATAGAAAGACCACACGCCATGCAGATTTTAGTCCTAAAATTATAATTTCACATAATAAAAGCACTTTTTAAATGAAAACATTTATTGTATTTACAAATAAATAAGATGAATTGGAAAACTTACGCTCAGTAATTGTTGTTGCTTTTTCAACATAAGCTACTATGATCATTTTTAACATTTGAAGATAGATAAATGTTCCTTGGGTATTTACATTCTCACTTAAAATTCGAAGAAGGCCATTGTTTGTTATTTTCAAACAGGAGTTGAAGTTTTGACGATCTTTAGGATTAATGTCGGTTTTTGTGAGACAATGATCGAATTTAGTAAATGCTGGATTGTCAATAATATCATATAGATGGTTGACTGATATAGCTTTGCTACCAATACACAATTCAGCTGTTGATAATAATAAACGATTACGCCATTTAGTCACCAAATGTGTTGCATCTTGAAGAAACAGCAACAGTTGTTGTTTTCGTAAAAAAACCAAGGCCATTGTGATGTTGTTTGTATTTTAAAAGCTACTGGATGTTGATGAAGTTGAAGATTAGGCTTAGAACCAAAGAATCCACTAATCAAACGCATCGCGCGTAAATATTTTGCATCTGCATCTATAAAAAAAGAAAGAATCATTGATCATTAGTATCTGGACTAATAATATGCATTTTTTTCTTACCAGTAGAAAAACCAATTATTCTTATTTTTCTTTGTGAAAATTGATTGAATAATATACCACCCCCTTTGAAGTATATCATCAGCTGTAGTTGTAGTGTTAGTCCCGTAGGCGGCTAATAAAAATGGACTTGGAATTACGTTCTGACTTGAAGATTGCAATGGTTGTATTATATGTACATTTAATAACGACGATTTTTCGATCGAACTAAACCATAATTTAAGTATATCAAATGAATCAGTTTTTTAATATTCTTTAATTGGTATTCCATGGGCAAGTGGTGTAGGAAACCCAACGAAAGTATTTGTTATTGAATCATATTTTATTTTTTTAATAACACTTGTCATGTCTTCGGAACCAAATGCATATTGAATATTAAGATTTTTCAATTTGTTTTGAAGTTCATCAAATCGAAATTCCGCTTCAGAAATCTTCAAATTTGAATTTGAAATTAATGAATGTAACATTGTTAAATTTGGTAAAGAACCCGGTAAATTCAACCTCACAAATTCATATGTAAGCTTGCCTCCCAAAATATATAAAGACAATGCAAAATCTTTAATATTATCACTGTATCGAAAATGATTACTTGGTTTAGTTAAATTATAGATAATTGCATTAATAAATTCTTTTATTAATCGATGTTTATCATCACATATTCTATCATCTTCATCAATTAACAGATACCAATCAATTAAAGTTTTCAATAATGGATGCTTGTTGATAAATTCATAAGATAAACCAGGATATTTTTCAATTGAATCATTTTTAACATTTAGGTTTTGTTGTTGTTGCTTCAAAAAGTCTAAAAGATAGTTTAAATTATTTAATAATCCAACTTTCACAATATATTTTCCATTATCAAGTTGAAAACATGATCTTTCTCTGATTGTTAAAAAATCAGGTTCAGAACAATTCATATTGAAAATCTCAAACACATTCGGGTTTCGAATGAGAGATTGTGTAGAAGTAATTGATTGAAAACATAAATTATCAACAAGTTGTTGTCCAACTAGTCCATTAACAAAATTATAAAAATCATCATTTTTTAAATGAGATACATTTTCAATAATATTATGGTCCATTGAACGAAAAATTTTACCGTTTTGTTTTGCTGCGTATCCTTAAAAAAAATTGAAAAAAAATTGGATAAATAATAAATTTTTAAAATTCGTTCAAATATTAAGATCTAAATAAATATTTTTGACAAATAAATGTTATATAATAGGTTTAAGTGGTCAAATGATGAATCAATAGTATGACGAGAAAAAATTAATGATTTTAATGATGATATATGTCGCTCACGATCGTTAAATATTAAGTATCATAGAAAAGATGACAATTCTACAATCGATATTGGGACCCTGTATTTGTGAATCATCACACAAATCACAATGATAAATGACTCTTTTAACTCTTTATTTTTTACTCTTCATATCAACCGATTCGATTAGTTTAGTAATTACTAAAGATGCTTGATCTAAATATTCTCATTAATACATCAAAATTACCGTCCAATGTACTGACACTACGTAATGATGATTTTCTTAATTTTGTTCGACAAGAAGCCGGTGAAGATGTTGCTGATTTGCTTGAAGCACAAAGTATTAACTGCACTAAATCATTACTTATGACATCAGATGTTTTCTCTGTTATGAATATCAAAAGTAAAAGTTTAGATGCTCTTAAAAAGAAAATTGGTTATTTGCAAGATGATGATACATATGTTGTCAAGCCAGGTGTAAGAGGCAATGTGGATTATCTTATTGATTTGCTTCAACGTAAATGTATTGAAGATGCAAAATTATCAAAGTCTTCAAAACACGTTCAATCATCATCTGCAGCATTATCTTTAAATAGAACAACAGAAGAACAATCAACAACAACAACAATATCTAATGTTTTATTGAATAATTCATCAGATACCTCAACAATTCCAAGATTATATTTATCAAATGATGAACATAATAAATATATTATTGATGCAATAAATTCCTGGTGTGAAAATAATAAATCAATATTTAATTTAAAAGATTTTACTTTAATTGAAGGACAGCATTTTTTTATCTCTATCTTGAATCGACCAGATGATACAATTGGTAAAATAAAATGCTGTTGTGGTAAAATAATATCATTAGCTCTCAGACGTGGAAAATATCAAATTGCTATCGTCACTTTCAAGGTTCATGAAGTGGTATAACTTGCAAAACTTTAAAAGAAATAATAAAAAACCAACAGCTATCAGTACCACATGAAATAAATAATCAACAATCATCCTCAATTTCAAATGCATCATCAGATCAGGCATCATCATCTCCATCATTAACATCAATATTATCATCAAGTTGTGCACCATCGACTGCTGAACCAATTACAATACCATCTATATTGACAAGTACTTTGTCATCATCTATTACAATATCATCACATGATTGTGATTTACGTAAAGAACAACCAACAACATTATCCACAATGAAGAAGCTGAAAAGAAATATTTACACTGATGAATCATCAATTGATACAAGAAAAAAAGGAAAAAAAATGAGAAGATAATGTTTATATTGAAAGACATTTTTCATATTCTTCTCATATTGCTTTTTTTGATCATTTACCATTAAGAAACTGTTTTTTAATTTTATTTCTTATCAATAGATTTATTTATTGCGTTTCTACATATTTTAATTATTGAAAAATCACAAGCTTTATTTTTTATTTTTGTTTTTATTGTAACACTTCTCGTTTTTAATTCATTATAAAAATAAAATATAAGTTATTAACAGTAGTCGTACAATATTTTTTTAAAGTACAAGATGAAAAAAAACTATATGCTTCGCTTGTGTATATGTTCAAATAACATTTTAGTAATATTCTGGCGATTCATTTTTCTGTAATACAACATTGAATGAGAAATATTCGCATGATAAAATAGACTAAAAGAAATTAAATAATTTTTCTATTCTGAAGATCATTAGAAAATATTGGATCCTTGGAATCCCTTGGAATCCCGGAATCTGCCGTTTCCCCCTTGTGTATATGCATTCGCGTATGACAGCAGAACGAAAGAAGATATAGATGGAATACGTATATGATGATGTCACAATAATGATAGAAAGAAAGAGATGAATAAGTAAGCATGCATAATGTGTTTTAAAAAAATCAACTCGTGAAAATCTTCCTTTATTGAGATATAAAAATAAATTTTTTTTTGTAGAAAACACAGTAATGCCATTTTTAGAGAAACTTGTTGCGCTTGTTTCTCTGCAACAAAGCGGTAATGGAATGAATCCTTTTAGGATTTTTATGTACACTATGAGCCCTATCTATGAACAAAGTATGAGGTCAAAAGGTGTGTATCAGTTGGTGAGGTTTCCTCGTTAGTGTATAATTCAGAACCAAAGAAGACCCATGACAGCACTTTTTTGAAATATAGATGATTACAAAAAAAATTTCTTGATATTCTGTAGGGTGACACTTTATTTCTCAATTAGTATTTCACTGGCTATTACAGTCCTTCTCAAACGAAAAAACACAGGGTCGGATTTTACGGCGCTGGCAAAGGTATATATTTCATTTCTCGTTTTATCATGCCATTCGAAAGAGCCATGTGCTTTCTTATGTCTTTTCAAACTACAGTTCTGATGTGTATGGCTACACTATTCTTAGGTTGATGATCAATAGATGATATGCATATGCTTTGCTAAAAAGAAAAAAGCACACAACAGAGAAGGCAAGGGTTTAAAAAGTGAGATGCATTACCTATGTAGCACAAAAAATAACTAATTTCACTTATCACACGTGCCTACAACCAAGTTACAGCTAGGAAGTGACAAAAACACGTCATCTCACCTTGATACAAAAAAAAGGAAGTGAATACATGTTGTATTTATGTTCCACCTCAGCGCGCACAGCAAACTTTATTTTATTCATACGATACACAATATAAGCCAGATATCTAAACCATTAATAAACGATATTACTTTTTGTGAAAAAAAAATGACGACTATATGCACTTCTTGCGGTGTACCGATTCCATCTTCGTTGAGTATTTACAAATGTCGTCAATGTGTTAATCATTTTGTTTGTCAATTGTGTGAGACAAAGAACCATAATCGAGCAAGTGCTACTTTTCATACACTCGATAAAATACTTGTACCAAGTGTTCAACCAACAACTGCTGCTAGTAGTACATCATCGAAATTCGCTTATGATCCACAACAAAGCCAAACAAAGGTAAGCTTCATTAAAACAACAAACAATATCTTTTTGATACTTTTTATGTTTATTATTAATTGAAGACATCTTCAAAGTCGTCATCAATATTTAATAGTGAAGCATATCTATACAGCCTATTAGGTTATTGTTATCATTGTAACCGTGTAGTCGCTATGGATAAAGAGCCAAGTTTTCAATGTCAACAATGTCCAAATGATTTCGGCGTCTGTGCTCAATGTATGCCTTTGATGACCACGCATCATCCTTCGATGCATACATTTTCACAAAAGCCTTTCAGTCATTGGACGAAGATAGCGCATGATATGTACCATCTTGATATCAAATGCGATGGTTGTTCAATGAATGGATTTAATGGAAAACGTTATCAATGTCAACAATGTCCACCGAGCTATGATCTCTGTGAAAATTGTTTTGGAAAGAAACATACACACCATGAACTGAAATATATACAAAATCCTTTATTACATTCTGCTAATCAACAATCGCTAGGCCTAAGAACTTTGGCATTAGCCAAGTCAAATGGTAGGAACAATACTAATTGGCGTGATCCATTAACAGGTTGGACGAAATCTGATGCTGAACTAGTTATTCAACAAGCAAAACGAGAGCAAGAAAATTATGAGAACCGATTACAACAAATACAGAAAAAGAATGAAGAAAATGCGCAAGAAGAATATCGACATTCACGACAACAACTTGCTGATGCAAATCGACGTTTACAAGACACAATTGATGACGGCTGGCGTCAGTTGCACTGGAATATGATACTTCATTGACGATGGTGCCTAAGTTATGGCTAAAGTATAGTACTTTCACGGCTATAATCAAGAAAAAGACATTTTTTTCTTCTTTCTATAAACTCTGCATTGTAACCTTTTTATTAATTCACCGCTAAATGCTTACGGAAGCATCATTTTACTAACCTTTTGTTTTTCTGCAAAATTTTTAAGCTTCACAGAACATGACAGTAAAATTCCCAAAAAAGGTTGATGAGAAGTTAACCATCTTCGATCGTAGTTAGTAAGTGACGTATCAGACAGCTGTCCTCGTGGGTGTGGGTGTGGATGAGTGTGGGTGTGGGTGGGTGTGGTGGGGTGTGGGTGGGTGTGGGTGTGGGTGTGGATGTGGGTGTGGGTGTGGGGGGTGGGTGTGGGTGTGGGTATGGGGTGTGGGTGTGGGTGTGGGTGTGAGTGTGGGTGTGGATGTGGGTGTGAGTGTGGGTGTGGATGTGGGTGGGGGTGTGGGTGTGGGTGGGGGGGGGGGTGGGGGGGGCAGGCGGGGGCTCGATGGGCG